TTTGGCCTGCATCAATAGGAGCATAGTGTCTAGATCTAGGGAAGTAATGCTGCCCCTCTATTCCGTTTTGGTTAGACCACATCTGGAATAATGTGTCCAATTCTGGGCACCACAATTCAAGAGAGATATTGACAAGCTGGAATGTGTCCAGAGGAGAGCGACTAAAATGATAAAAGGTCTGGAGAACAAGACCCTATGAGGAGCGGCTTAACGAGCTGGGCATGTTTAGCCTGAAGAAGAGAAGGATGAGAGGGGATATGATAGCCATGTATAAATATGTGAGAGGAAGCCACAGGGAGGAGGGAGCAAGCTTGTTTTCTGCTTCCCTGGAGACTAGGACTCGGAACAATGGCTTCAAACTACAAGAGAGGAGATTCCATCTGAACATGAGGAAGAACTTCCTGACTGTGAGAGCCGTTCAGCAGTGGAACTCTCTGCCCCGGAGTGTGGTGGAAGGCTCCTTCTTTGGAAGCTTTTAAACAGGGGCTGGATGGCCATCTGTCAGGGGTGATTTGAATGCAATATTCCTGCTTCTTGGCAGGGGGTTGGACTGGATGGCCCATGAGGTCTCTTCCAACTCTTTGATTCTATGATTCTATGATTCTATCAACTCTAAAATGCTAAAAGTTCAAAGTTGTGGCAAGGAAGCACATTTGAGACAATAAAATGCCTACGGATAATGAAGAAAACTAATATTGTGAGTAGAGATATGCATACTAAACTAAGCCATATTCTCCTAATTGAATCTACTTATCTCACAGGCTCTTGAACAAGAAAACATATTATACAATTGGGGGGGGGGGGAACCTTTGACCTGCCAAAGGTTTTAGGCCAACTCCTAAAAGATTCAGCTGGCACAGCTAATATTAAAGAATTAAGAAGTTGCATAACATGTAGAAGTGCACATTTAGTTAACATTTGCTAAGCCGTCTAGTCTTCTACATGCCTGGCTGCATTGATAGAAGAAGCTAACAGATACACACACAATACACATCACGGCTTAACTTTGGCTGTCATTTTATAGTGTTCACTCTAGAATATGTGAGTCAGTATATGAAGAGGAAGGTGACATTGTACATTGTGGAAAGCCTGTTTTTGCTTCCAGTGAGCCCTTCTTCCACCAAAATAGAAATTTCAACTTGAACGTTGACACTGCAAAACATTTCATCAAATTTTGAAATGTGGTAGTTAACATTGTGTTACAAGAGATATGGTCGCAATAGATGCACACACATTCAAATATAAATAGATGCATACTATGCATCACAAATCCGACCAGATCACATCTTCTGAATTCAATTAGATTCATGCAAATTTACAACAAATCCAATTCATTCAGTAAGTCTTATCTAGTGGGGAATAAGATTGGATACATCCCTTCATATTTGAAAGACGTGTGTGTATATACATTTATAAGCTGTCTTATGTCCCATGGTAATACGGTTGGCCCTCCATATCCATGGGTTCCGCATTCATGGATTTAACCAATCAAAGCTGGAAAATATTTGAGAAAAAATCTCCAAAAAGCGAATCTTGATTTTGCCATATACTGAGCACTATGATTGACATCTAGACATACTCTACAGCACCTTCCCACCATTTCATAAATCCTTAGGCTCTCTCTGGCACTTGTTTGAATGGTTCACCATTTCATATAACAGACACCATTGTAATATACCACTGAATATAATGGAACTTAAGCATCCACCTGGAACCAAACCCCACAGGATACCGTGAGCTCACTGTACATACATATCAAGAAATCAGTCTAAAATACAATTCAAAGCTCAATTCACACTTATTTCATGGCATCAGGGAGGGGCAGGATGATTTCATAGGATTGATACTTTTCTAAACCCGTGGTCTGAGTGCTGAATCTTGATCAACTGATGGCACCAATGTTGTTAAAGTGCAACTGCACTTTGTAAGTTCTGTATGTTCCAAAGAAGCAACTCTGTTGGAGCAGATAATAACACTATGTAACAACATTTTCTGTTCCTGGTTTGAAAATGTTGCTTCCTGTTTAATTGTGCAGTGCTTACTTTGAAAGCGGTTGTTATACTCCAGAAACTTTGTTTTTGTGGCTGCCACAAACTATGTTCAGTTGGTTGAGACTCTGAGATATTCATTGAAAAACTATAGCAAAATGTACTGCAGGAAGTCCAGCAAAAACAAAATATTTGAAGTTTAATAAACTTTTTTCATGCTTTTATGATCGAACCAATCCAGAAATGACATTTATAACCCAGGAACAAAAATCATGTTACATAGTGTTATAGAACCCAAATGAGGAAAATCATTGTTTTTTTTTTCTGAATACAACTTACTTTTTAAAATAAATGTAAATTTAAAATGTAAATTTCTGTCCCACAAGAGAACCACAATGGCATTTGGTTCATAACAAATAAATAATTCAGTAACTGTGCAAACATTGTAATAGTGTTTTACTTAGAAGAGCATGCAGGCATGGCTCCTCTTTGGCTAATCAGTATGCTGTTCATTCGAGAGTAACAACTTCAGAATGAACTTTCAAATGCTTTGTCTCTGTATGTGTGTGTGTTTAAGGGAAGGAAGGAGAAAGAGAGAAGTGTTTTTTTCTGTACCAATAGGTTTTTTTCCCTTATTTTTGTCAGATACATATATAGTTTCTCATCTACATTACACTGGTTAATATAATCCATCAGAGTCAGAACAATCAATTCATCTCTTGAACATCATTCTGTGCATTTGTTGCCAGAAAGCCACTTGAATACAGCACAGAAATTCCAATACAGAACTATAGCCTATCACACACTTTCTTTCTCTTCTTAGTATAAGAGACTTTTAAAAATGTGACAGTGGTCTATTTCAAATTCATATCAGAGAAGAGCACTCAACAGAGACAATAATGCAGCAATTGAAAGTTCGTAACATTTTGTTTGAATATATCATCTGTAGGCTTTGTCTGTAGGTGATCCTATAACCTTGATCATCTCAGATTCTCGTTTCATACAGTTCATACAAAAGAGCAACAACAAGTTGCATGTGCAGCACATAACAACACAGTGTTTTTCTATAAACAGAATAAATAGTGGAAAAGCCAAACTGTTCTATGCTTAACAGCTTTATGAACCTTGGCCACACAGTTTCCCTGCGTTCAGACAGATGCAATAACACTTGTGTATCTTTTTGCTTTCTATACTATATATTTTCTTTTTCTTCTTTTGTGGATAGGATTGACTTTCTGAATTGGAAGTCAGTTACATTTTTCACATCAACAAAGGAAAAAGCAGACCCCATTGTCTAAAATATGGTTGATAAACAGTTTAACTACATTTTCAGGTCTGTTTATTACATACAAGGCATTGAAATAACTTTGACTACTTATATCAAACATTATTAATATTTTCATCAAGCCTATATGAGAGGATCATAACATAGTCTCTTGAGAAATGTGCAAATTAATACCAGTTTAGAAAAAAATTAAACTAAGGCTAGTCAACTAAGACTCTTAGAAGTCCTAACCAACCAAATTTCTAAGATTGGGCCTGCAGGTAACGAAATGTGTCTCCAATGCCATTCTGAGACAGGCTTCATGGAAATGGAGGCTAGAGAGTGGGTGGTCATACTCAACTACTGGCTCAGATGATCCTTTTCTCTCCTTGGTCTTGCCCCACTAACTATGCAGGGTGATTTCCAGTCTATATGAAAACAGGCAGTAGCAACTAAATTATATCCCTGGGATTCTTTCCAGGGTTGCTACTCAGTATGGGATACGATCAAGCCAAAGTGCACTTTAAACAACGTAGTTTAGACACAGAGCGCCAACTGGATCTAGCCAGCACTCTAACTTTTATTTTCAAAGAAGCTAGTAGGAACCTCGCCTCCCCTATGGTATACTTAAGTAATCTAGAAGTACCCAACCATAGGATAGCCTTGGCCCTGACACAATGTTATGCCCTCCCATCAGCTGTACTCAAGGGTCGATATCAGAAAACTCCCTACCCAGAGAGACTGTGCCCCTTGACTCTGGACACAGGCTCCTCCAGAGCCTGTTTTACAGAGACATTCGAACTAGTCTTATCTCACCATTGTTGTATAAACACCTAAGGCACTTGGGACAATTTTACACCACCTGATGTTGTCAGATACCACCTATGTTACAACCTATAATGCTGACAAGCTTTGTGCAACAGTGCTTAAAATTTGCCAAGTGATTATTGGCACCACAAGCTAGCATTCTAATGTATCAGAGAATTGTAACTATAAATATATTTAATGTCCCCACCCCTAGTTTCCTAGACCTGTGTCTGACTGTACCCCACCTTCCTTATGTTCCCTCATATTCCCTCAATGCTCTTACCCCTCCCTCCAGATTCTTTTAAATCAGTATCTTGTATTTTAGCTTTCAATATACGTTTGCATTTTAGCTTTTAGTTTTAGGTTTTTATCAGACTGCACCCCACTTTCCTCATGCTGGTCTATCACAATAATAAAGAAAGATTAAAAAGATTATAGGTGATGGTGAAAGTTCATGGGAACCATAGTCCAAAACCTCTGGTGGGTCATAGTTCTGCACTATTGGTTTGAAAAGAGAAATGAAGGAAAAAATTGTAAACATTCACCAAATTTGGATTTGGATTGGGACCATGGCATTGGATGAGTTTAATCCATGGCAAAATGGGGAAATAGTAGCTTCAAGATGAGGATGATTTTCCCAGAGGAAATGCACTGTAGGAAAGATTTATTCCCCTTTCTTCATCACCACCCCCAGTCTCATGGTGGTCCATGCAGTCATGCTGGCCATATGACCTTGGAGGCATCAATGTACAACGTCAGCTCTTCGGCTTAGAAATGGAGATGAGCATCACCATCCAGAGTCGGACATGACTAAACTTAATGCCAGGGGAAACCTTTACCTTTACTTAAATACACTTAACTTTGTTGGCTTGTGCTGTACATAATGTACAAGGGGAATAGAAGACAAACATTAATACACAGTTCATCATTCTTGTTTTTACCTATCAAATGGCTTTGACATGTTGAATCGGCGGCAGTGTTGTCTTCATCCTCTGGGAAGTTTTCTGTTACCACTTTAACCTGTGGTGTATACAAGATAATTAACACTGCTTTCAAATATCCCTTTTGAAAAGCATGGACCAAAAGCCACCATTTCAAAACACATCTTGTTTAACTTGTCCCTATGTTATCACCATCCTCTATCCACCTTAATGCAACTTTGAAGTCACACATAATGAGACATTAGAGTACAGCTCATTTGGTTATGAATGACTACTAAATTGGTGTTCCTAAAGTGATTCTAAATGCTTTAATAAAAGCAATACTTTGCAACTGTCAAGAAAAATTAAGTCATGTGAAGGTATCACAAGAGGAAACAGCCCATACAAAGATTCATTTTAATAAGAATAAAGAAAGACATTTAGGCACCCTGACTCTGTATTTACCACTTTCAAAGACTATTACACTGCATTCATTTTTACTAAAGAACACAGGAAACAAGCAGAATATGAGACATGGGATTCTCTTCATCCTGTACTTAGCTCACTCAAAACTGTTCCTGCACAATGGTGGTTTGAGCACTGGCCAATGACTCTGGAGATCAGGGTTTAATTCCCCACTTGGCCATGGAAACTCACTGCGAAACAGTTTCAGCTCCAGAAAACTCCAGGATAGAGTGGCTATATATCAGAAATGATTTTAAGATACACAGCAGGCACACCTTTCCTATGTCTGTTGCAATGCAATGTCCTGAATAAAAGTAAAAAGGTAGAGTTGTCCGCCTCCCATTCGACCCCTCATTTCATGATCTCTGCAGACTGACAAGCTCTCCTGAGGCCTTTTTTTTCTTTCAATGAGGAGCAGGGGGTACACGGTTGGCATTCAATATCCCAAGTTCTCATTTGTAGTGTGGGATTTGTGATATTCTTTTGTCACAGGATACCACAGTTCTGGATAAATCAGTAGCTTAAATGTACACTGAAAACTTTGGTATTTTCAGAGCCAAGGGAGGAGCCTAAAAAGAAATAATTACTCTTTTGATAGAATCTAGTGTCCCTTCCATAGCATATGAAACTCAACAACATGGTTTAACTTGGGGCAAACCAGAAGAGGGGATGAATGTGAATTACATTTTTATTGGGTTGTTGTGAGTTTTCCGGGTTATATAGAAATGTTATCCAAAAGCATTCTCTCCTGATGTTTCACCCACATCTATGCCAGGCATCCTCAGAGGTTGTGAGGTCTGTTGGAAACCAGGCAAGTGAGGTTTCATATGTGGAATGCACAGGGTGGGAGAAAAAACTCTTGTCTGCTTGAGGCAAAAGTGAATGTTGCAATTGGCCACCTTGATTAGCATTGAATGGCCTTGCAGCTTCAAAACCTGGCTGCTTCCTGCCAGGGGGGTCCTTTGTTGGGAGGTGTTAGCTGGTCAGGAATTCCTCTATTGTTTGAGTGTTCCTCTTTTTTCACTCTCCTGATTTTTGAGTTTAATTTTAGTGAGCTGCTTTAGGATTCATGCTCGGAGAAAGAACAGTTATAAATTAATTAATTAAATAAAATTTAAAATCTACCAAAGTTTGCAAACATCTTCAAATTGGGAACAGGAAATCCTTCAGACATTTTAAACATAATATGGCCAAAATTAGAACAATTGGAAATCAGGCAATGAAATGGACAAATCAGCAATGATGCACAAAGAAAAAAAACACAAAAAATTATTGAGGACTGGGAACTATTTCTAAACTATGTTTTTAAAAAAATTAAAGAAGGAATAGTTTTTATAGAAGGCTCCATAATTTAACCTGTTAGAATCTGTGCAGGGAAGTTATAAATAAAATATAATGCCAGAAGGGAGAATAAAAAAAACACTGAAATAGGAAGGAAAAACAGAATTATATATGAATGTCTCCAACCCAAGAGACGGGAAGCCACTAAAATGGCGGGGATGGGAGGAGGGGAGAGCATAACCAAATACAAATATTGTATAGATTTTTAAAATTGTGTTAGAAGCAACTTGAGAACATACTGCAAGTTGCTTCTGGTGTGAGAGAATCAGCCATCTACAAAGATGTTGCCCAGGGGACGCCCGGATGTGTTACTATCCTGTATGAGCCTTCTCTCATGTCCCCGAATGGGAATCTGGGGCTGACAGATGGGAGCTCACCCCGTCTCGCGGATTCAAATCTGCAACCTTCAGGTCAGCAGTTCAGCCAGCACAAGGGTTTAACCCACTGCACTACCACGGCTCTGATATAGATGTTAGGAAGTATTGCATTGATTAATGCATATATACATGTATATAGATTTGTTTCACTATTTTTATAAATATGTAAATTGAAAATAAAAATATATTAATCTCAAAAAAGAAATCAGGCAAATTTGTCTCTTCAGATCATTCACTTTGATTGCTTCACTTTAAACATCTTAGCATTTTGGTGCTGAATGAAAACTGCCCTCTTTTTGGAGAAGCTTCACATATTTAACAATGGATGGAAGGCAAGTACAGCACGGTTTTCTCCATGTTGGGACAAGTTGAACTCATTCAATTTGCCTAGCACAAAGGAAGGATTTTTTTTTTTTTGCATTCCACTTCTGAAGAATTTCCCTGAATTTAATCACATCCTAGACAGAAAGAACTTGAGGTCTAAAAAAAATCCTTGATGTGGAAGAAAAAGAAATCGACGAATTATACATAGCTAGAAGCCTTCCTACATCTGACTTATATGTACATACACATAAATGCACATGGTTTCCATGGTGCTCTCCCAGCTACTATAAAGTAGAAAAATAGTTTTTTAAGGTATTCTTTCTGCATTGTGATGTGTATTACTTCAATATATGGAAATCAAGTTCTCCTGTGCCTGAGGATCCTCCATTCTTTCAAATTCTTCCAAAAAACTCAAACAAAACTGGAGTTGCTTTCCAGGTGACTCCAAACTGCTAGCAAAGTTTTAGTAGTGACTCTACATTTTTCTCAATGTGAGTGTGCTCCATTTCCCTCATTACAATGTAGTTTCGAAAAGATTTCTATACAAATGGCAGTTACCAGTACAGTGTCTCAGGCAGACTGTGCAGATATTTCAAGAGATCCATTAACAAGACACTAAGCCATCAATTAACAAACTAAAATATTTAATTCTATGGTATATTAGTGCTAGGATTTTGGACAAATGCACTTGTTTTTGCTGTTGAGATGAAATCAAACACCTACACTTCATATTGGTTTTGAAGTCCAAGTGTTGCTTACTATTTTAATTCTTATCTCTAAATATGCTTTGTGTTGTTACTGGGGGGTGGGGGTGGGGAGATAAGCTCAGCTCAGGGCTTTTGAAATGCTTTGTGCTGTTTTTCTCAAAATACATTTCTTTGAAACTATTTGGGGAGGTTATCAAATATTAGGATTTGAAGAATAGTAGTTCTCATAAATAGAAGGGTTTTTTTTTTAATCACAGGGATAATGAAACCAGGATAGCTGTGCAACAATATATTGTCAAAGGCTTTCATGGTCAGAATCACTGGGTTGTTGTGAGTATTGCATGTCCATGTTCCAGAAGCATTCTCTACTGGCATTTCGCCTGCATCTATGGCAGGCATCCTGAGAGGTTGTGAGGTTTGTTGGAAACTAGGAAAATGGGGTTTATATATCTGTGGAATGTGCAGGATGGGAGAAAGAACTCTTGTCTATTTGAGGGAAGTGTGAATGTTTCAATTGGCCACCTTGATTAGCGTTCAATGGTCCAGCAGTTTCAAGGTCTGGCTTCTTACTGCCTGGGATAATCCTTTGTTGGGAGGTGATTAGCTGGCCCGGATTGTTTCTTGTCTGGAATTCTCCTGTTTCTGAGTGTTGTTCTTTATTTACTGTTATGATTTTAGAGTTTTTAAAAACTGGTAACCAGATTTTCTTCATTTTCATGGTTTCCTCCTTTCTGTTGAAATTGTCCACATGCTTGTGGATTACAATGGCCTTTCTGTGTAGTCTGACATGGCAGTCGTTAGAGTGGTCCAGCATTTCTGTGTTCTCAAATAATATGCTGTGTACAGGTTGGTTCATCAAGTGCTGTAATCACCTCCCAACATAGGATTCCCCCAGGCAGTAAGAAGCAAGACCTTGAAACTGTTGGGCCATTAAATGCTAATTAAGGTGGCCAATTGAAACATTCACACTTCCCTCATACAGACAAGAGTTCTTTCTCCCACTCTGGACATTTCACAGATATATAAACTCAATGTTCCTAATTTCCAACACACAACCTCTGAGGATACCTGCCAGAGATGCAGGCAAAACGTCAGGAGAGAATGCTTCGGGAACATGGCCATACAGCCCGGAAAACTCACAACAACCCTGTGCAACAATAACCATTAGCTGAGAAGCTGGAAGTTATATGTTTTATTTCCCCCTCTTGTTTTGTTAATTATAGTTAATATTGCACTTGTTTTGTAGGGTAGTTTTGTGTAGTTGTCGTTTATGTAGCTATTTAGTTGAGTATGTCATTTCTCCTTGTATGTTGTTTTACATTATTAAAAAGTTTGTGTTGTTTAATAAAAATATTCTTTTAAAAGACTACTAAATCTTTTTAGTCCCAGCTATCTCTTCCTACCAAATTCTCCGCAATCTAATTCATAGCAAGTGTGCAAAAGGCGTTAAGAAAAGGAAATAAGACAAAGGTTTACATATTTTAAAAGATTCAGTTGTATGAGCTGAAAAATAAATGGAACTTCCTTAAAATTTTCTCATCACTATCACTCTCATCATCCTCATTATCATCTCTAATTTAAAATATATATATTAAGGACACAAATTATAGGCATTTGTTTCACTCCAAATAGAATCAACATAGTAATGCTTCCCATTTCATTTACAAAAAGAATGATTAAAAAATCCTTATTTTAAACCCCCGCAAAGATCTAGCATATAATGTAATCCAATCTTCAAAAAACAATGTCCTAATCACACTTTGATTTTCAGCTTAACAAAGTGCAGTCGGGAAAAGAAAAGGTAATGCCTTTCCAGCGTGACTAATTTGCCCTTAGAAGTTGGGGGTTGCGGGGAGAGAATGAGCATTTCTTCATTATTTATGTATATTCAGAACAATCTTTGTACTTGCCCAAGAAAATGAAGTGTGTTTCTTGAAGATATACTTAAAGTCCTAAATGGCTATTATTGTTACATTTGCAAAGACTTCACAAAATGAGACAAAACCGTCTGGAAATTACTGAGCCATTAGACAATAATAAGAAAGTTTAAAAAGGAATGGGAAGAGGAGAATGCTTTTAGAAAACACTTCTGTACAGTGAAGATATACCCTAAGCTGTCAGCACCATATTAAATGGAGCATAGTTAAATTGAGTGGCTCTGATAAGGGACTCGGCTCCACTATCAAAGTTCTAGATCAGTTGGATTGAATTTCCTGCATATTGCACATTTCCAGACTTCCATTCTCTCTCATTTCTTTCAGTGACATTACAAGGGCAGACTTAGATATGCTTATAATTTGTGGTTTTATAATGCAGGGGACATCTACATTTTCAAAGAAAAGATGACACCACAGGAGCTACAGGACACAAAGAGGGGGAGAGGGAAAAGGGAGGAAAAAGTTTTCTCAAGTGTATGTATTCAGAATACAGTTTGGAGCTATTCTTAACAAATGACCTTGCATATAATCTACCGATGGCTATATTTACATGAAAATGTAAGCATTGCAACTGTAGTGGGAAGGGGAGAAACTGCAAGGAATTTTGACATAAAAGGTTTGGGAACTAAATTGTAAGGGCAAAGTCCATATGAAATTCTAAGAGGAGGCCTTAAGGGACAAATTAGGAACTCTTAAACAGGTTTGCTGAAACTTTTTATATGTTATGCACAGCCATGGAGAGATCCAGGTTTTGTGTTATAAGCTGCCATTCAAGTGGCCATGCTGCTGAGAACAGGTGGAAGGTTAATACACTGTATACTTTCCAAATCCCTCGCCAGGTACTAATGCATTGGGGAGTTGTGGGGCATAAAATTTGCATTTGAACAATGGTATGGAAAGAGAATTGCAGTTGGAACATGATGATCTCTCTTCAAATATATGGCTCTAAAGGAAAGCAAAGTCAAAGGAGGTTTGTAATCACAATGTTGCAAGTTCCCAATCCTAATATAATATAGATTGCAGTTCAAAAATAAATATGGAGCTGGGACATATCTTGGGAACATACGTAATGGCAACCTGTGCCACAGGTTGTACAAAGGTGGCTCAGAAATATACGGAGTTGACCTAGAATGCATGACAAGCAAAACTGAAGTGTACAGGATGGTATGCAGCCCTGAGCAGCCTTTAAGAGGCTGCCTGAAGCTCAGCGGGTGCTCCCCCTCCCCCCCGGCCAATCAGGGGGCAAACAGGGGCTGCCTCTGACTGGCCAGCCAGCCGCTCGGATGGTGGAAACAAGGGGGCTTCTGGGATGGAGAAGCCCCCAGCTGGTGCAATGGCAGGTGGGAGGGCATCTGCCACTGCAACGCCTCCATCTGGTAAGTTGGGCAGAGGATTTTATGATGATTACTTAAAGGTGCAATTGTTTTGAACAGGTATTGGATGCTATCTGCGATCAATGTTTCTTGCAATCCTATCCTATCAATTTGGATCTTTTGTTTTTCATATATGTGTATGTGTGTTCACATATATGAAAATTTGACAAGAAAATCTGGAATAGAAAACATTCTTGGTTCTAAGCATTTTGGAGGAGGCATACTCAACCTGCATTCCACCATAATGATCCAATTAAATAATCCCATCAAAATTAATAGTGAGCACAGCCACAGATTATTGCATCATTCAATTTCTTGTTGCTCAGAAAGTCTATAAATAGTTTGCTTTTTAAAAAACATACTCAGGTGTTTTATTCTTTAAACCCCACGTTTATCTGGCTACTTGGACTAGTTTAACGGCCTTAACAATCCATTCTTCTGTCATCAGTGCTCCTATTTCAGTACTTCTATATCCCTTTCACTTACAAAACCCCCAAAGTGTTTCACCATATCTGAAAAGCGGATGGTTAAGTGTGATTACAATTTTTGACTGAGTTCAGCCATAAAATGGCCTACCATAAACACAAAGTGGTCTCCTTAACATTAAAACAACAAAGGACAAGGATATGGTATCACTAAAAAAAAAAAAACCAAAAAGTAAGTACAAAGATGCATTCTCTCAAAGCTCAGATCCATAATGTTTCTAGGCATGGAAGATCTTCTCTCTTATAAAACTGCTTATTTTATAGAATAGCAGCGGCATAGCTATTAATATAGTGAGAGCATGTCCTTGAACACATGGATTTTAGACCATGGAACAGATGAAAAGATCAATATTAGCAGATGTGGAATACAGTGTGGAAAAACTAAAGGCTGTTCAGAGCAGCAGGCAATGCAATCAACAGGAATGACTGACTCAGTCTACTTTCATTATGTGCAGAAAATGTGCATTACTTTGATATATTTCACAAGGTACAGATTCTTGTATGCATTTCATTTCATCAAATAATGGCCTATTTATGTACACATCTTACCCTAATGTGCATGTTTTGTTTGCATCCCAACCTAAAATACTCAATTGCTATGTATTTTTGCTATTGCAAAATCTGAAGACATGAAAGGAAAAAAAAAAAGAGCAGTTGTGGTCCAATCTGCACACTGCTCTGAGAACTGCAAATAGGATTGGAAGAACAGGTAGCCGGCAGAAATCATCATAAGACAGACTGATGATCCCACTGGACGATAAACAAGAGCATTAGTGTAATTGGATTCTCTAATCAGACCATCAGCTTCTGATATTAATCCCCCATTCCCCAGCCATGGCACACATATTTCTGCCATGTATAATGGAACATGCTTAGTCGTGGTAAAGAGTAAGAATAAGAAATGAAGTGAATTAAAAATGGAACAATGTTTTACTGCTTACCAGCGTCTCGCTTGGTGCCACTTCCATATCCGCCTTTGTTTTGCTGTTTTTCTTCTGGTTTCCTTGAGGGCCAATAGAGTCGCTGGGAAGAGAAGAGCCCTGGGAACTGCCCTTTAACATGCTCCTGTAGGAAACATTATTTGATCCAGTTTCTGTCTGCTGGGCTGCTTTCTTATCAACTCTGTAGGTAGAAAGTGATTCCTCTGATAAATTACATTGCCCTTCTTCAATCATTCTACTTCCCTTGTTCCTTTAATGTTAAATGTAACCTCCCTGTACCTTTCTCCCTGTGGACCTTTGAGTGATAAATGTCTCTAACTAGCCTTGATCAAATCTGTCACTTGCAATTTCTGGTCCAATATTAATTTAGTGTCTCAAATATGATGACTTATTTCAAATCTTCTATGATTGTGTGGTAAATAAAAAAAACACTGCATACTTATTGCTGAATATGTTTTGTAGATCAAGATTAGGATGGCCTGAAAGGTCATTAACCTGGCAAATTACAATATTTGTTTACTAGGAAGAACAAACACACAGGCAAATTGAAAGAAAAAACACCTCCGGAAACTGCATTTTGAATAAATCTTTTGCATGTAATATGCCTTTTAAAAAAAAGGCTATGGTTTAAAATATCTGTTAGGTTTTATGAGACTTACTTTTCTTTAATTTCAGAGACCACTGACCTGGTTAACAAAAAGCAGATGGAAATGATCAGGGCAGTGATGTGGTATAGCTTTTACTAGGCTATGCCATTGTAGTTGCAAGTGGTGGTGGTAGGCTTGGCTGTTTCAACATGCATCCATATTGTTAAAAATCTCACTGCCTACACAACTAAGGAGAAAGGTTAATCAAGAATCTGATCCCTGATGTTGTAATTTTGGATGGGATGTTTCTTTCTCTGTTTCCTTTCTATACATGGGATTAAAGTACTATATAATCCCTTGCCTGTGGCCTGAAATTGTGAAGCCTATGAAATCTAGTACTCCTTATTATGGCACTGACTGCAATAAAGATTTGCCAGTTAATAAAAATATGACATTTAAAATGTTCTTTTAAAATGTTTACAGCCCGCTTTTCGTTCTCATATGTTTTTGCAGTTATTTTTACTGTTACACTGTTACTTTTCTGTTCTACAATTTATTATTTTATTTATTTATATTCCACCTTTCTCTTGATACAGGGACTCAACTACAACTCTGGAGGAAACCAAGAGGCAATAAACAAATAAAGATCAAGTATCCTTTATACCAAATGTCTGAGACCTTCTTCTTTTTTCTTCTTCTTTTTTTTTTACAGATTATGGGATAACTACACATTTATAATAGATCTCTTGGAGATGGGACCCAAACCTAAACCTAAAATTAATTTATATTTCATATACATGTTATATGTACAGCTTGAATGTATTTTTTACACACTATTTTAAATAATTTTGCACATGAAACAAAGTTTGTAAACAGTGAATCATCAGAAAGCAAAGGTGTCACTATCTCAGACATTCATATGGGCAATAGTGGATTTTGGAGTATTTTGAATTTCGGAATTCTATATAAGAGATGTTCAACCTGTAATTTAAACCACAATTATATTGAGATACAGTGAGAGTCAAGTGGCTTCCTGCCAAGCACAAAATTCCCTGAGGGATGAAACTATAAAACAACCCTCTTCCTGTTACTGGTAGTCAAGTCATTGGAGGATGCTGACTCATGGAGAACTATGGGAGTCCAAATTCGTTAAGTCTACAATTCCCATTAACATTAGACACCACAGCCAATGCTCAGTAAGATGGCATCTGGAGAAACACAACTTCTGGATGGAGAAAACTGTCCACTCCATTTCTGCATCACCCCACTGCTAATGGCACATCTACATGAATCACTTACCACAGGGCTGATTCAGAATAGAGTATCCCTTCCTATCCACCCTCCCTTCCCTGACTGTGTTGGTGCTTCAGCAAGTAGCGGCACTGGTGAAGAACAACAACTGGGAGTAATTTCATCTCCTGGCTGACACTACGACGATGACAGGACAGCAATAGGAAATGTCATCCCCTGTCCCCAAGCCCAGAGAAAGATGGGCCCTTGGGGCTTTTAAGAACTTCTTGTGCACTTTTACAATTGAGCTAATGGACACCTGCTAAATAAGCGAAATTCTTCCTCCCTGCCACCCAACAGCTTTTAGTATTGTCCAGAAAACAGCTCTGAAGGTCTGGAAGAACTTCACATGGGGAGAGGGATTGGGCACGAGTGGGGAAGTGCAGGACATGGGAGGCATTTGGTTAATGGCCCTTACTTGTGCTGGCCAAAAGCCCTGTGAATTCCCCAAAGGTTCCTTTTCCCATATTTTATTTCCCCAAAATTGTGCTTAATGCTCTGAAACATGTAAAAAACATGCAAGAAGATTCCTTATCCTCCCAGCCCTATTGCCATTTTCCCTGTTTTCCTCTCAATAGCAACTGAGTTTGAATGGAAAATAATCTGTTGCTGATGCTGGGTTTTTTTATTATTGCTGTTGTAATTATAGTATTGTGGTTATTCTCACCCATGACTGGGGCACTATACTTCACATATCTATATCAGAATCTTCATTGAGAAAAACCCTTACCTGTGTAAAAGCTCTTTCATAAAGCTGTCTTTTCCTGAGAATGTGGTGGCAGAGTTGTTCTTTTGTTCACATCTAGTTGGATTGAAGCTACTATGGGTGGCTTTTGCCACCTTTTTTCCTTTTGGAACATTGTCTAAAATACCACAGTTCAGAGTTCTTTTATTTAGTTCATTTTCTGTTTCACAGTGTTGTTCACTTTTCTTTTTGTCTTTTCTTTTTTCTGATTTGGTTTGCTTATTTCCAAAAGTCAAACCCTTTCCTTCTTTCTTTTCTATTTTTGCTTTGGAAATATCATTTTTTCTACCACTCAAGGCTGGGAGTTTACTTTTACGGAAACCAAACCAACTGGCGATAGAAGGTCCTCCAGTCTTCTGTTTAGTCTCAGTGGTTAGAAGTTTGTTTTGTCCTTGTCCTTTCTGCATATTTTCTTGGATGCACAGCATGACTTTTTCTTCTATTGTGGGCTGTAAAACAGATGAAGATGAAACTCCGTTTGGTATTTCAGATGCCTTTAAGCAACCTTCTTGCAGTACCGTCTTGCTTCCTTCATGTTTACGAGGACATTGCACACGGTCCAGATTTTTCTGAAGTGGCAGGATCTGTTCTGATGAAATACTAGTTGATGACTCCAATGCCATTTCTGCTTGGGTGACACATTTTTTGCTTACTGGTTGATATTTAGAAATTTCACTGCCTTTTCCATCATGGACAGTTTTACCCTGGACATCTCTCTGGGATGATGATTTGTTTCCCTCATTTTTTGAAGTGCTGTAGAAAGAATCCCCCCTTGGAAACATATGAAATGGCAATTTGCTTGGGCTACTGACTTGACTAGTAGAATCACTTGTACTTCCTTCAGAGACCTGTCTAGAATATGAACTTTCTGGGGCTTTTGTTGTGCTCGCAACCACATCTGATGTCAGTGCTGTTGCTGGGGTGATTTTAAGTTGTAATCCCTCCGTGTTTGAGTTCTGCCTGGTTAAAGAGTTCCCTCTTTCAGAGGTATTTGTTATAATCTGTGTCCGAAATTTTCCTAACCCTTCTGTGGAAGGCATCGGTGATTTTTCTCCCATGTGAATGCTGAAGCTATGACTACGGGCCTTTGCTCCATTCATGCCAAGAGCTGGCTTCAAGTATGTCTTACAGCTGGAAGAAACAGACCTTTTCACTAATTTGTTTTCTAATCCATCTTGTTCCATAAAGCTGCATGTTTCAGAGGAATGAGGGCCCATACCAATTTCCAAAGGGAAAATTTCCTTTATTTCTTTCTCAGTACTCCTTAATTCAATGTCTGCTACACATAAGGTAGTTTGAAATAAAGATTCACCCTGCTTCTGTTTAGTTGAATTTACACAGCATTTGGAGGCCGCATTCATACTTTCTTTCTCCTGCTTTCCTGGTATGGTGGAGCTCTTTCTGAGGAGCTGAGGAGACTTTAAGAGTAATTTAAGTCCCACAGGCAAATGGGGTGTCAGGCCCTTGTCTGGTATCTTTCCAGCATCACTGCCCTGAGATAACAATGACACTGGAGAAGGACTCATTTGAGGCAGAAAAGCCTCCCCAGTGACTGTTGTGTGACAATCTGGTGATGAGGAAAAAGTTTGTTTCTGAGGCACTCTATTGTCCTTTGATGATGGCCTAGTTTGCATTGGATTCTTTTCTCCTGACATACATGCTGGGAGAACAACCTTAGATTTGCAAAGTTCTTTGCTATTACAGACAACTGACTGGTTTGAGGTTTTTGGAGAACTTTTCTTTGTGAAAACTTTGGGAGTCCCTTGGCATGCGCTAGAGGACAGCTCTGATATGCATTTGCTTTGTGAAAAAAAATCCTCCTTGTCGTGAAAGTGATTTAATTCTACATTTGATGTTGCAGGGAGGTTACTAGTTTGCATTTCATGGGAAGTTATATTATGGGGAAAGTGCACAGGAACTTCTTTAGGTGGTACAGTTGGAGAATGCTCATAGTTTTGTCTAATCAACAAGGAAGTGGACCTTCCTGGTGGAGGAGGGGGTGGTGGAGAACTGGCTTCAGGAGCAGGTATATCAAAATGGACATCTCTAGTTGGAGGCTCTCCACAGTCGATCGGTTCTCGAAGACGCTGAGGTACTAAAGCTGGTTCTGGAGGTTGATTCTTCGGCCAATCTGTTCTGTCCAGAATTCCAGAATTCTGTGATGAGTAGGCTAATACCTTTGGGATATGCGAGTCGACTTTTGAATCTGAATTTCGAGTTGGACTCTGCACCTTTCTAAATCTTGGGCATTTTACAGGAGACAAAAGAGCTTTTTCTGCCATCATAAGACAATGGGGCTTGCTGCCAGTAGGGTCTTCACACAATGAAACCTTTGATTTCTGTGGTGAAAACTTGCTCCTACTGGGAATCTTACTCAGTTTCAGATTATTACCTGCTGGAACACAAGATGGAGAACTAGCTTTGGAAGTATTACTGCAAATTGACTTTTGCGGTGAAGTATTCTGAAACACGTGTTTTTCCAAGTATACAGGACATTCAGTGCTGTATGTAACTGCGTCAGTTTTATGTTCACACTCTAGATTAGTCTGAACAGTCTTTTTCTCAGTCCCATTATCACATGTTTGCAAAATACTATAGTTTTTAGCATTTGTTGCTTTCTGCAACATAGTTTTTCCCTGAGTTAAACATTCGGTGTATTCTGCATTGGACCTGATATATGGGTGGTTGATTGAAATTTCATCTCTAGTTAAGGTCACAATTCCAGTCTGATGTGAACTGAATTCAATAGGTTTGCCATCTTCCGCATCATATATTACAGTAATGCATTCCTCTGAAGAAGTCTTCTTTATAACTTTTTGTTGTTTAACCAAATTGCATGCCTTTAGCCTAATATGTGAGTGAACAGGTACCTGATCTGACTGTTTTTTAGAACATCCACACTGGCAATTTTCCTTCTTTAGATGCACGTCAAGGTTCTCTTCAGGCTTGTCAACAAAGGGTGTTAATGACATCTCAGAAGGACTCTTTTCATCACTGCTTTCTATATGTAATTCATCCAGAATTTCATTGTCATCGGTATCTGAAAGGTGTAAATTAAGGTCTCTCCAGCTTAAATTAGTAAGACTTTTATCTAGCCGAAGCACTGCCGGCTTCACATTTGTGGATGATTTTACCTCTGACTGAAATTCATTGACAAAACTAGTCAGTTTTTCAGGCCTTTCCTGTGAATTAAAATAAGAACCTCTTTCTGGTAAATGACTTCTATCAGGTTCCCAACTAAACAAGCTGTCAGAAACACTGTGAGTTAATTTATTACAGTAGTGCCTACAGTCTTTGCTTGGTATTTCATACAGCAGTGTTAAAGAAGAAGACTCATCATCTGCATCCTCGTGCGAATCAGAATCATAAAGGGAGGTTTTTTGGTGCTCAATGCAAATGGCTCCTATTTCCTCTGGCGTGCAATATGCCTGCTCTATATGGCTGCTGCACTTAATTCCAGGGGAGTAAATTCCTTCATTAGAATCCATGCAGTCTTTGTACCCCCATTTGGATATAAGAGAAGGTGGTTCAAGTAATATTTTTTGCTTTTGTAGTTTCTTTAGCCCTTCCAAAATATGGTTTTCCTTGATTCGAGTTGGAGGTAGATCATCAGCAGGGCTGGAAAGGTTGCTAGGGAGCGAAGAACCAATGCTTATTCTTTTGTCCCAGTTTGCTGATGACTGTTWAAAAAAAAGGWGGGGGGGGGGAGAGAGAGAGAAATCAATTTAATTATTACAACAGATTTAAYTAGCACTAATAAGCAAATAWTGTGTCAAAATGTACAYATTTTAATTGGAAATGTAAAAGCTCTTCACAGAAAAGAGTGAAGAATGACCCATAGTGGGTAGTAGTAATAGGTTTAGATAGTTTGAATGTCCTGATGTGTCAACTCTCTATGTTTATCTATCATCTACTTYAAAGTTTMAAGTTTAAAATGATTTGATGTATTCATATATAAGATGACAAACCAGCAGACCACATTTACTGTTCACTGTGATRTAAAGTTTCTATATCTTTTTCTACAWCTTTTTCTTCCCATGAGTCCCCTCTTGATCTTCCAAGATGTAGCTAAGCTAGATCAGCATACRGAGTTACTATCCTATCTTAGAATGGAGTTCCTAAACTAAAAATAATTTCTTTCTCCCAGGAATTGGCATGTTTGCACCTTAAATCAAGTTGAGTACATGCATTCAAACATTTTCCAAATATTTTTTTCAAATGGAATATCATTTTCAATCTCTATTATTTTTCTCAAATAATCTGAATTCAGTATTACTTGTTGCTGTGTGCTTTAATATTAATTGGAAAGGGGGGGGGGGGTTGCCCACCAGGGATCACAAAAATAGTAGATAATATAATTAACGTACAAAACCAAAAGAGAAAAAAAAATGTTTGAGGCCTTTAAAAACCAAACTATTCAGTATTCAGTATTAAATTTTTGTCTTGAATATACTTAAGGCTTTGTATCATAGTATCAACAGGGTTGCTAGTATCACTCAAAAGACATGAGTTTGCCTACCCTTTTACTGCATGCCTTCCCATCGTTCCACGTATACGAGGAGCCACTGGAATATTCACTGCAGGCACTTGACAAAGAGAGTTCACTGCTGCTGCAGCTACTTCGAGGATACACTCGGTGAGGCCCAGCCACATATATTTGGCTCTGGAATTTCAAGGCAGGTACCCCAGACTTCATATTCTGTTGGCATTCCTGAAACAAGAATGGAAATTAAACTACTTCACGAATTTAAAATGATTTGATGTATTCATATATAAGATGACAAACCAGCAGACCACATTTACTGTTCACTGTGATAGAAACAATGTAATTACTGAGTCAATATTAAAGTTACAGTGCTCATATTTCTCCCTTGTTATGAGATCAAAATATTGAAATACTTGCCAGTTACTATTTTTAATTATGCATGTCACAGTATCCAAGCTGGGCTTTCAATGGCAAGCTGCTTGAAATATGTTGTGTTTATTAGCAATGTGCTTCAGAAAGATACTGAAAACAAAGTTAAACAAGTACAAGAACATCTTGACAACCGCATTATATCCCAACAATGTAACAGATGAGGCCCTACAAAGTGGACAAGGTAAATTAATTTAGTGTCCCGACCAGAGTGCCCATGGAGAATGGAATCTCTCCATTACAGTCTAATTTTGGTTTCCTATCTGGTTTAAAGCATTGTCTAAGGAAGTCTCAGATGCAGGACAATCCATCTTTGTGTCACCACCAGACAGCTGAAGCCTCCTGCTTATGCTATTTATTGACACTTTATGGCTGCCTTTAGTACTTGTGTAGTTATCAGTTCTCTCCAAATGCAATCTCAGCTTCTGTGACTAAATACCACCTCTGAGGGAAGAAAGTAATGAAGAAAAAGAGACTAGTGCCTTAGTTAAAACCTGAAATCTTTGCAGAAGTTAGGAGATGTGTTTAATTTTGTTTCCAGAAAAAATATTCTGCTTCCTAACAAGGGTAGACATCCTTGAGTCCTCATGAATATGGTGCCATAAAATCTTCTATCTATTCAAGGGAACTGGGCACATTGGAAAAGTTAGCAATAACAGCAAGATTACATTTACTTGACATCTTGCAGTGAATTTCATTAATCCAAGGATCACTTTTTTTACAACCACAGAGCATAACAGAGGTGGGTGCTTCTACTTTTCTATCTCATTAATAGCAGGCACAACAACCTAATTTAGGGCTTCAAATGCAAGTCAGTGTTCACATGAAAATTCTGTACAAAAAGGTTTTCCATCTTCATTTTCACAGGGGGAGATGTTTTTAAAAGAAAATACTCCTTCCTTGAAGCTGCCATACTATGTGGATGGGGGCGAATGTTCAAAATCCTAAAAAAAAACACACACAAAGCTTGTTCTCTGTGTGAGCATCAACTTTTATGCTTATAGAAAACTACAAAAATGGTACACATGTCAAATTCTACTCAAAGGCTTTAATGCTCCCTATTATATTAAGAACGCAAGGAACTTAGATCAAACCAAAGGCTCATCTAGTGCAGTAGTTCTCAACCTGTGGGTCCCCAGATGTTCTGGCCTTCAACTCCCAGAAATCCTAACAGATGATAAACTGGCTAGGATTTCTGGGAGTTGTAGACCAAAACATCTGGGCACCCACAGGTTGAGGACCACTGATCTAGTGCAGCATATTGGTCACACAACCAAGTAATCATACAGTAGGGCCTCAACGGAAATGCACCCTCCAGTTCACACTCCCCAGTATCTGGTATGCAAAGGAATAGTAGAGTATATATAGAGCCTTGATGATTAGTAGCCATTGATGACCTTACCCTCCATAAACGTATCTAATTGCCTTTTAAAGCCTCCCAATAATTAAGCAGCCAGAACTGCATCTTGCAGCTGTGAGTTCCACAATTTATGGACTATATGAAATGCTTTTTTTTGTCCTGAATCTTTCCCCATTCAGCTCTACCCTATGACCTCATGCTTCTAGTTTTTGACAGAAGGAGAAAAGTTACTTACCTACTTCTCCCCTACACTATACATCATTTTATATAAGCCTGCCATGTCCCCCTTTATTTGCCCTTTCCCCATGTTAAATAGCTTGGGAAGCATTGTGGATTTGTATAAAAGTAGTATGATACCGCCAGTTATACTTTCAATTCCTTTTTTTTTCTCATTATGTTCAAGATGGGATTTGCACAAAGAGGATTTGAAATGTATCATTGAGTTGTTTTCCACAACCCCACATCCTTTTCCTGCTTAGTTACTGCCAGCTTAGATCCCACCAATATATAGGCGAACATGCCCTTTTTAATTTTTTTAAATTAACATGTACCATCTAACATTTAGCACTCTTTTTCAACCCAATAGTGTTCTGCTAAATCTATGTTTTGAGCATAGCAGACAAAGTCACAGCTATCAATTGTTCCTAGATCCAGAAATGGGAAGGCAAGAGAACTAACTTGGATTTAAATAGATGCCCACTAGCCTTCTCCCTTTTTAGATGAGCATACATTGGCTCTAAACCACAAGGCACAGAGTGTTCTACAAAGTTACTTCTTTTTTTCTGAACCATGTACTTTATTGCACTTGATAACCAGAGTTATTAGACCACTCAATAACATGTGTTCTCTGTCTGGTGTGCAAAACATAAAAAAATAAAAAACACAGCCAATAAAACAGCAGTTGAAGACAGCACATAATAAAAACTAAGACAAAACCGCATCAAAGAATGTAAGCACCACAATGTATTTTTTAAAAAAGACCAAGGCATAAGAGTACTAAGATCTATAAGCATAAGATCTATAAGCACTACAGACAGTTTTTAAACTGTGTTGGAAAATAAAAATCAAATTTTTAAATGTATATTCTGCCTTTCTTTCCAAACAGAGACTCAAAGTGGTTCTTAACAAGATAGTAACAACAACAACAATAGGTACAGATTTCAACAAAGACTTTAAACTAGAATAGCAAAGACCATAAAACCAAAAGCAGGATTGCCCTGAAGGAATGGCATTGAAGACACTGGGTGCCACAGGATGGAAAAAGACAATTTCTCTTGACCCCATTTAGCCAGGATGCTTAGAGAATTGCACATGATGGCTTAAGAAGTTCATTCCTCTATCAGTATTAAGTAACAGTCTAGCAATTTTGTTGCCACACACCATAGAAAAATGGGCCAGCTTTCACTTTCATGACCTTTCTGACATTGGTCACCTTTAGGAGATCAACTGGTAGCAGTAGTGCCAGATTTACCATTGTGTTTAAGCACAGGGGCCCGTTAGCCAGGGGGGACACCTTCTCTCCCCCCCCCTCCAATTATGATGGATTTTGCTTATGTGGTGCAATTTTAAATGTGACGGCTTTCTGTTTTGGAGCAATTCCAAACATAACTATAGAGTTGATAATCTATGGAACTATGCAACAAAGCAGGCAGTGTAGGCCTACTGGGCCTCCCTCCTTCAGGGCCCAAGAAAAGAGTCTCATCATTTAACTAGCACAGGACCTCATTTGTCCTAAATCCAGCACTGGGTAACAGTTTACCACCTGCAACAGTAAAGCATTCTCCCCTCCACTATGAATAAGTGGATAGGTTTCTCAAGGCAAGAGATGTAGTTACTAACTGAGAAGACAGGGTTGATGCAGGTTGGCTTGTTTCTTAAGCTGACAATCCGCTGAATTTCTTAGTAGCTGTAGATCATTATAATATTCTGAGTTGCCTTTCCAGAGTTAAACTTAGTTCTTGTATTTCCTGGTTGTACATCCCCACCTTAGCTATCTTTCATGGTCTATGTCGTTAACCTATGATATGACCAAAAGGTTCTGTTCCGTCCCTTATGCTTTTTAAGACTAGCATGAGGTTGTTGTCATATTAGGTCATCTAGATTTGATTATTAAGATTTGGTAAAAATGTTGTGCTTAGGAATTTCCAGGTTCTTCAGTGCAACACTATGCCATCTTCCTCAAGAAAACTATTTTTTATCCTAGGTAACAGCTCTCTAGGATTCTTGAAGTCTTCCTATGGGGTTGTATGGACAGCTTCCAGTGGAAATTGACCATGGAATCACGTTGGAGGATCTAGAAATTCCTCGAAAGGAGTTCTCTCAGGTAAAATTACACACACACACACACACACACACACATATATATTTGTGTTTCACATTCACGGGGGTCCTGTATCCAAGTGAATGTGGAGGGTGGATTGCACAAGGCAACTTTTGATTTCTTCAATTTAACTATTAATATTTTGAGCTGAATGAATAATAAGTAAGTATATCTTCACTACATAGTAACAAGACCCATTTAACACAAAGGGTTATGTGTGTAAATGAGAATAGATGTAACCGTTTTATTTTCAAAGGGAGGTAGTGTGCAGTGTGGATTTGACAGAGAAGCACTAGTATAGTGTGATCCCTGGATTAGTCCCAAAACACAAGTCATTGACTGCAGGCCCCTAGTGAGAAAGACAAGAGAAATTGTATCCATATTGCACCAATGTGGTGCTCTAGCCCCTTGCACGCTGGAATAGAATAATTCTTCACAGCTGAAAACCCAAGAAACATTAATGCAGAAAAATTAAGGTTGCATCTCACTTCTTCCTATGTCTTGTGCCATTAGGGGGATATTTGCATACTTTGCAGAGTACAAATACAAGAATAACTCACTCTTGCTATTTTGAGGGGGGATGGACGACTGGAGTAACAGAAGATTATGCATAAGCATTAAAGACAAAAGTAGAACATAGGAACAATATCCTATACATCAGTGGATGTTCCTAAGCTGCAGATTTTTACATGGTACTGGTATTTTTTTTTTTCTTATTGGGGCTGAATTTTCCTCCGAACAGCATTCTAATGGATTCCTTGAATTTTCTTTAAGAGCTCTCCAAAATTACCCTTGGGTGCAATAATTACATATATTTAACTTGTTCATTGGTTTATTAATTTGCATTTCATAACTTTTCCTTTCTAATTATGGATTTTAAACTATCATCTTTAATAAGACCAGAGTAAAAAAAAAGTTGAATCAGGATTATAATTTAAACACGTAATTATTAAGTAGTGAGGAAAGACAATTGTTTGAATTCATCTACTGCCATGGTAAAACTGGGTGGTTGAAATAATCTCATCTGAAAGCTAAATTGCAGACTACAAGGTAGGCATTAATATCATCCTGAACTTTTGAAACAATTGTTCTTTCAACTTCCAATCAGATACATGT